CTCGAGGATAAAAGAACATGTCAACAAGTTTAGCTAAATTTGTTTTTACTGGAAACTTTTTTTTAAAAACAAGTATTTTTACTGGAAGCAAGTTGGAAGCAATGTTTAAAAACTTCCTCCTGCCTCAATCGCCTGACCTACCAAGGTATGCCTCAAGAATGCACCTTTATGGAAATGGAGCCCAAGTCTTTTCTCAAGAACCCCACAGCCCAAACTAGTTATTACTTTCCAAATTTCAATTGTTTTTATTTTTAAAGTAAGCAGCAGTATATATATCTTTTTCAAATGTTTGGGTTTGTTTTGTTTAAAAATGGCCTATACAAAACAGCACTCTGGGACCTTAGTTGTATGTCCCCAAAATTTTCCAAGAAATCAATTAATGAAATTTCTTACATAAACCGCACCTAAATTAATCTGGAAAACAGTGGGAAACTTCAGGTCTTTTCCAGTTCCTCAACAATCCTACTATATGCCACTCTACTTAGGTCAAGGAGAATGGTTATCCCAAAGTATCAACAGTTGCTATTTCCTGATGGCCTTGGACAGACACATTGTTACCGCTGGTTACCACGCATCATTTCCTGTAGATAAATGGCATTCATGTGGTAGGCTGACATCCAGTTTGGGTGTCTCTGAGCATTCCAATAGTAAGACTGAGAAGCAGCAGCATAGTATTCCTGCCATGCCCTATAGTACGCTCTCTAGTATTCCTCATAGTCCTGATAGGAATCAGAAAAACTCGCCTGTGTCTCCCTGTGGCCCTCATACCACCCATCTTCCTGGGGCTCCGTCTGCAGTCGATGGTGAGACCGCCTGGGGAGGCTTCTCCGGCTCTGCTTAGCTCGCTGCTTAGTCCCCTCTTTATGCTTTGCCTTTATCTGGACTTCAGGTGATTCTGGATATTCCTCCAGATTGAGACCGTCACTTCCATTCAGGGGCTGCTCCAAAGAGAAATGGCTAGCCCGAGGAGCAGATTCCGAGTCCTTCAGTGGAGTATCAGAAGAGCCTTCCATGTAGGACTTATTTCCTTTGCTCTGGGAAGAAGTCCGTGAGCTGTAAGAATCACTGTCACTCTCAGAGTCTCCAGACTGGCTACTGCTTGCTAGTATCTGTGCTCTCTCTTCAGTAGCTCTATCTCTCACAAAACCATTTTGAGGATTCACTGTCTGATCCCCAGGACCTGTATAGTGCCTGATGATTTCCACAGGCTTCTCTAATCCCTCTTTAATATAGAGTTCATAATCCTCTACAAGTTCTGAAAAAGCAAAAGTGCAAGGCAGGTGGTTTTTAAAGGAAGACAGACATGGAATTTTGGGGAGCGATGCTGGTAAAGTTTCTTTGTCCTGATGTTGACTTGTGGTAGAGTTTTCAACAGGGGTCTGATCAGAATCCTTTACATGCTCTTCTGATGGCGCAACACAGCCCCGTTCTTCTGGTAACAGCACTTTGTCTGTAATTCCACAGTCTGAGTGGCTTTTCAGAGGAAGCTTTTGTTTGGTATTACTTTTGGATTTAGATGTATGTGAAGTACCTCTAGCTGAAGTTGTCTGGTTACCATGACCTTTAGAAGTCTGAAAGGTTCTCTCTATTTTTTGAATTTGCTTTCTTAGGTCCTGGGTAGGCTCATTTGCTAAGCTATATGTATGCATGGCAGCTTTAACTTCCACATCCCACTCCAAGCATTCTTCCATCAGACCAGGAGGAACAGGGTCTACAAAGAAGAAAACAGTTGTCAAATTCTCATGTTGCTACGGAACACTTTTCTGTATGACATCATAAAGTTTTCCACTCAGTAAGTTTGAGTAACTTAGTATACCAATAAATTTATGTTATCAGTATGTAACTAACATAAATATACTCTAGGAGTGAGGGATGAGTCTACAGTGATCCCCTCCCACCTTCTCTCTCCTTTACCCCCAAACCAATCCCTTTATCTCACTACTGCTGACAGCAAAACAAGACACTGGGAAATGGACTGTATTCCCCCAAGTTCATCAACAGGGACTCTTCACAAAAATCAGCCACCCTCTACACCAAGAGAGAGAAAATATCCAGCATCAGGGAGAAAACCTCTACAGAGGAAAAAGGCTGTGGGAATTATGAAAAGTTGTGGTATCAATGGCACCTATAAGTTTTAAAAAATGTGTCAATTCCAAGCCTCAAAATTTCTTATTCCATGAAAGTATCACAATCTGTCTGCACATGCAGACTCAGGCCTTTCTAAAGTGCCATCAATTTTAGCCTCAGGGAGAAAATGTCGTGTCTCTGTTTTACAAAGATCTGTCTGTCTACTGTTATTACTGGTACACTCTATATCTCTACCTATCATTAACTCCTGGTTCCCCTATCACTAAAAAGTAATATTCCAAATTCTAGACCCCCTTGCTTCCTAGATAGACAGATATTCCTGTAATATTTCTTCAGTAACTATCATATCTCATTTTCTAGAAGGCCATGTATACATGCTCTAGCTATACACACACACATATTTTATATATATATATATATATATATATATATATATGTAGTATATATATATAGGTAGTATATATATAGTATACATATATACTAACAAACACACATTAACAGTTACAACAAATAAATTCTATTTCCATACAAAAGTTACTGGTCTACTGTTGTTAATGGTGCACCATGTCTCTCTACCTATTATGTTGAAGAAAGAGCAACCAGATGTACCTTGGAGGCAAAGTTGATGGACATGTTGAAAAGGTGGAGGGCAATGGACTCAAAAGTGTTGGGGATGGTAAGAATGGCCCAGGACAGGACACAGTTCAGATCTATTGTTCACAGTGTAGCTATTTAGACTCAATTAACACAACCACCACCACTACCACTATATATTAACACACACAACAAAGAAACTATTTCCATACAAAAGTTTTAAAGAGTTTTTTGGTGGTTGTTTCAAAAAAAATCATTAGCAGTTTCAAACTTGCATTATTTCCTAACTGGCACTTAAAAAGCAGTTTGACAAATGATTCACTAAATTCAATTCTAACTATTCAAATACAGTGCTCGCATGAAAGTTAGTGTCCTGGCAAAAACTATCTTCACAGGTACATTAAAATAGGCAAAATATTAAAATAAAGAACATAAAGGAACAGAACCAAATGGCAAGATCATAAACTTAAACTAAAAAGTAATGCTATTAAGCAATAAATCATTTTTCATTAACTTGCAATTCTATCCTTGCCTCTTACCTACAAGACAGACTTTGGGTAAATCATTTAATGACGTGATGTTACGTACGAAATAAATAACAGACCTCCTAGGTTGTGGTAAGAATGAGTTAGCATGCATAAAGTACTTTAAAATTAAAACACACCTGGTAAAGGAAGAAGGTTGAGATTACATTTCTGAGCAATTTTCATCATCATATTTTCTTCTTCTCCCCGACAACAATAGGTCACTGTTAATCCCAATGTGCCTACAGTAGAGAGAATATTAAGTGGTAAACTACAAATGATACCCCAAAGCCACAAATGACACCCAACTCCACATGCTGAATTACCGATTTTCCCCCCTCTAAAAAAGCACCCAAACTTTTTCTTTTACCAAAACGACCAGCTCTGCCAATGCGATGCATGTATGTCTCCCAGTCCAATGGTACATCCAGATTCACAACCAGACTCACCTTCTCAGCGTCAATCCCACGGGAAGTCTTAACATGGAAAAAGACAGCTATTGTTGTTTGCGTTAAGTATAGCATATAATGTTAGTATTCCCCCGATGAGATACAATATTCTTCAACCATAACCATGAGTCAAAAAAGAAGAGTGGATACTTAGGAGCAGAGGAAAAGAAAAACTCACTGCGAACAACTAACAGAAAACATTAAAGATGTTTTAAAGAAAGCATATATCCTAGGACTGGAAAGATGATTACTTTCTGGTACTCTTCAAACATCCACATAAAAAAAGATGCAATCAGTCTACTGATAAGAGAGCATATGTCAAGATAGATTAGTAACCCAACTGAAGAGGAAATTTACCAAATCTGTGGAGATGAGGACTCTGCAATGAAACTGCTTCAGCTTAGCCACAGCATCAAGACGCTGATTCTGATTCATGCTGCCTAAAAAGATCCAAGTGTGTAATGGAAGATAACTGAGTAAATACACATTTATCACATCCACAAAGAGCAGAAAATCAACTCCTAATCTTAAATTCTTAATATGTCAAACCGAGTTACTCTTGTTTCTATGTCTTAGAAAGTCAGAATCTCTCAAAATTGCATTTATGCAGCGAACTTAACAATAAAAAATCCCAATGAACATAAATCTCAAATTTCTTTTACTCTAAAGTCATAATGTTACTCATAGGGAAACTCACAAAGTATTTCTTGCTCCCACAAAGTATTTCTTGCTCCCAACTTTGGAAGCCTCAAGTCAGACTAGTAAACCAAGATTAAAGTAAGAACTTACCTGAAATGCACTCAGCAGGAAAGCCTTTTGAAGAAAGGATGTCAGCCAAATGTTGTGCTCTACTATGCAAATTAGAAAAGACTAAGGCCTGATTAAATGGAATTCTGCAAAACAGTTCCTGTAAATGTCGCGCCTTCTCCTCAAATATCTTATGGGCCAACGGGTAAGAAGCAACAACTTTGTAATACTGCTTCAAACCTATGAGACTGGGATCACTGGGATTTAGTCTGACAAAAGTGGGATCTCTCATGTATGTCGTCAAAGCGTTAGCCAAATACTCGGGGTAAGTAGCTGAGACAGCTAACATCTGCTTACTCGCAGGCAAAGAAGAATAAATCCAACTGGAAAACAGGGAAAAACGAACATCACTGAAATCACTGAAGCAATCACCCTCACAAAAGAAAAGTGAAGACACATTATCTGGAACTCCACTTTAGTTATCAAGTTATTTCTTTTGCTTACTTTACTTGTTCCTGGAAGCTGCCTTCTTCTAAAAGCTGATCTGCTTCATCAAGAATAAAAAGCCGTACTCCAGCTGGGTTCAAGTAGTCAAGTTCTATGAGCTGTTTAATTCTGCCTAAATTCCGGAAAAAACACAGGTGGAAAATATTTATGATGCATCAAATTTATATACAGCCAAAGCTTGTTAATCTACTCAGGTTACACTGCTAGATTTCCCGACCAAAATCTCATTATGCATTTACACACAAATTTGGAATCTTGAGTTTTGACCCTCCTCAATCTGATATTTTTCCCTCCCATTTTATCACCAATGTGTGAAAAGGCAACACTATCCTATTAAGTGAGATGAATGCTAAGGCGCTGAATCCTAGCTTCAGATTCTGAATTATAAGTAACCAAATGACCAATAAAGAAGTTAAATAATAATCTGAAGCCTTGACTTCTTACATTGGGCTTCCTGGAAGTCATCTCAATCCTCCTTACCTCAGAAGCCCATGTAACCTATCACTATGTACTTAAACATCCATAGAAAAAAATGTCTTAAATTCCACTGATAATACAGTCACATGTCTATACTGCACCCAGTGCTCTTTGACTCTCAAAAGACTGACAACAGTTATCAAGGAATTTTATATTCTTTTATACTAAAAACGTTTAGTTCCGTAACAGCTCCAGTCATCCACAGGCACTGATATCTCACCCGGTGATCCAACAGCAATGTGACACTTTTAAAGTCTGGTTTTATCCTGTGATAATGGAGTTCCTCCAATGAAGACATGGCATTCTAAGCCTTCCATTTTTATTCCAATGGCTGTGATAACAGAATGTATCTGTACAGCAATTTCTCTGGTAGGAGCCAAAATCAAAATCTGGGTACTTAAGTTTTCAAGTAAGAGAGAGTCCAATGCAATCGTGGAGAATATACAGGTCTTCCCAGTGCCAGACTTCGCTTGAACAA